ATGTTCAGCTGAAAACCACTTTTTTTTAAGCCCCGTTTGGAAAAGTCCAAAAACTGGGATTATAGATTGACTATATTAAGCCAAATCTTAATTAAGCGTATCTTACCAAAGGTTCCCCCAAATCAGACTGTCAGTGAATGCATCCTGACCAGTTGGCCTTTTCATTAAATCTGCGGCACACTCGCTCATATTTGGGGGATCTACCTACTTGGTACCTTCAGTCAGCTACAGGTATTTGAACTCCGGGTTTCCAATCATTAGACACTACCAGCACATCACACTCCAAGGCGAGGTCATAACTCCATTATCCAAATACGAGTGAAATGTACATGTCCAGTCAAGAATGGATGCGGTAAACCTGGAGCAAGAATTATTTAATGTACAACAAATTTTATTCATGTAAAAGCATTACTATAATTTAGCAACATTAGTTTGCCAAATATTTTGATTTTTTCAATAGTACAATAGATGCTATTTTAAAAGAATCTGGTATATTTGGTACCATAGACACTATTTTTGTATTTCTCTACTAACAATTGACACGTGTAAAAAAAAAAAAAAAAAGTACTGGTATATTTGGACCTTTTTCACCACATAAACAAGTTGTAACTGATTTGACAAGCAGCGGATTAACTTTGTAAAGTTCTATCTAAAATGTGTCAACTCATTAAACTTGAGCTTTTTGGTTTAAGTTGTGTAATAATACCATTCCCCAAATGCTATTAGCAATGGGTATGTCAACTTCTGCATCAGTTTTTACTTACAAATACACACTACAACATATTGAGCTGAAATCACTGTGCATGTTCCATTCACAGGGGGGGGGGGGTGATAGCGTATTACACGTGATGGATTAATTGATCATTAAAAATCTATTCTATAAAATATAAATTTAAAAAGTTTTAAATATATTCTGTCATTTTAGGGATTACTACAAGCACAGCTCATAGATGAGGAAATTCTGAAACATGATAGTTTGTCAGTGTGGTTCGTAAAAATTCTCTCTCGCGGCCTTTCCCTGTATTCAATTCGGAGATCACGCTTAAAATCTGACGTCTAGGTTCCATGTGAGAAATACCAAGTTCTTTCAGGTCATCGTCCGTAAGCGTTAGGAACGCTTCCATGTCAACCTGTCAACCAAAAAATAATATATTAAATGATGAATCTGCAATCATTTGGATTAGATTCACCAATATAGTCACACTGCCACCTGGTGACCAAAAAGGGAAATGAAATTTTTTTTTCAATAATAATCACTTCCCCCTCGACTTACTTCCTGTTCTTCAAATATTGGGGTGTACTTTTCAAGAGATAATTTCTTCATAAGTAATGACAACTCGTCTGCAAATGAAAAAAAAAAAATTGTGTCAAAGTTTGTGTCATGAGAACACATTCGGTAGTAACTGTGGGGATACCAATATCTAGGCATTGGATAATGATTAATCAGCTTACCTATCTTGCCAAATCAAGAATCACAAAAGTTAATTATCATCATAACTCCCCTAATCACTGATGTTGCTGTGTTTAGAAGAGCCATTTTCAAAAGATAAATGCTAATACCGGTATATACCACAGAAAGAAGTCAATATTATGCTGCCCTATTTGTGTTAAATTCACATCCTTTCTCATTGTTGTACTGAAATAAACACATACTGCTTTCTTACCGTCTTCACTGATTCCACTGCTTGAACTGGTGTTTTTCTGTTTATGCGAAGAACTTGAAAAGGTGGACGAACTTATAGTGGAACCCAGATAGCCTCTGGGATCAGGTGATGCAGAAGGGGTCAAGGTTGTGCTGCTCTGTGAGGTTCCACTAAAATGTTGATTCGGTCTTGACGGGGTCAAAGAACTTGAGGTGGTAGAGGAATTTGAGCTGTTCAATCCGCCGGGATGCCTGTCAGTGGAATACAAACAAAGTGAGTTGGGACAGCAAAGAATAGATCCGTAAAACTCTCATTGATACTTTACAACATGTTTAAACCAAACCCAGTTAAATGGACTTGCTCTTGCCGCAAGAGCGCCACAAACTCAACATTACCATTTAGCTTTCAGCTATAAATAAAAAGACTCATTTCTTTCATTTGATTTCTCGTCGAAAACATCTGTGATGTGCGATGGTCGACATATCTATGGATACTACCAAGCCATTTATGAATTATCTTGATTTGAAAGGATATCATAGTGTGTGACATTACTAAAAGAGCAATATATTATACAGTAGTGTAAAGCGGTGGAGTCGTCGCCTGCGCATGCGTCAGATGGCCATAGCGTGTCATTGTTTACAAACAAACGTGTACCCATGAATCTTTGCATGTGTTGCTATCATCGCTTGGGACTCAATTCCCGCGCAGGTGACGACCCTCCCGCTTTAAGTATTGTTGCCACTTGTAATAATCAGGGTATACACATTCTACTTGACATACAACTTACACGTTTGCATTTACTCTGTTTGATGATTTATATTTGTGTTGAATACTCGATAAATGTATCTCTGATGGCCCTGATATGAAAGCCATTGTTGGGTAGGACACTGGTCTTGGTCGATTCACTGCAGAGAAAATATAGTGTTGTATATAAGTACATAAAGCAATGAATGTTATTGTCGCATTATGATGCAGGGTACATAGCACCAAAAGCCAAATGATTTCTAAGACTTTTCCAGACTTTTTTCCAAACTTTTCAAAGACATTTTGACCCTTAATTTGGGCACGGGATAGCAATCACTGCCGACACTTGTCGGAACTGGGGTAGAAAACACTTTATAAAAAAAAGACTCTATGCAGAGAAAACGAGCCTTTCTAAAATGAATTACCAGTAACTATGAAGAAAGTTAATATAAAGACAATTCAAAGACTTTCCAGAACCCAAAAAATCAAAAGACTTTCAAAGGATTTTCCCAATGCTACGGACCCTGAGATAGACTAACCTTTCAAAAAAAGTACACATTTTGTGTCTGTTCCACCATATAGATGACATATATCAATAGAGAATTTAACTTTTGTGTCTTAATATTCAATTGGCTACTGGTTTTATTCCAAATTTTAGGAGAAATGTATAAAAAATTACGTGGGTTATTGTGTGAAAAGTGACGATAGTTGACTTCCAATGGAGATCAAAAGGTTAAAGGTCATCAGTAAGTATCTGAGAGCAAAGTTCATACCTGAAGGATCATATGTGTGTCTTCTGTACATTGGATGTGACCGATGCGATGCTGTGAATACACGACCCACACCTTCGGCACCAGCTGAAGAGTTAGGACTTGACGATTCATACCCGTAGTTTGCTGAATCACTTGGACTGCGAGGACTGGAGAATTTAGCAGACTGCATGATCCGCCGATTAACCCCACCCTGTTTTACAAAATAAAAAATATATACAGTTATTGGCGTTGCCACAGGCCAATATTATAATTGATTCTTGATAGTATTTTTTGAAAAATGATCTAGTATTCAATACCAGTTCATTATAACTCGAAGTTTGCCAGCTGATGTTTTTTATAGACACTAATATTACTTTTACCTTTGTCTCTGGTGATGATGTCTTAGAAGACAATGACTGCATCTTTGGTCTATCTGAACTACTGAGATCAAATGATGGTGGAGGAAGGAATGGCGGTATTACAGGCATCAATTTCTCATTGGGAAGCTTAGACGTTGGTGATGCCAGTGACTGAAATGTACAAAGCATGAACAGTTTGAAATTGTCACAAAAAAACATATTTGAATCTACTAGATAATGTGACAGTGACAACTGGGTAGCAATACGGATATACCGAAGATCTGGTAAATAAGTAAATAAATATATATAATAATATATAGATGTTTTTGGTTTTGTACATATGCTCATTTGTAATCATTTTTTTGGACTCTGTTAGATTGATTTTGCTCAAACAATATGTATACGACAATACATATGCATGTCAATTTTTTTTATGTTTCATTGACTTTTACCAGTTGCCATGCCAATAAACAGGGCTGATTTCCTTCCCACTTGATTTTAACTTAACTCATTGTGATTTATCGATGTATGGCTTTTTTTTTTTTTGCTTTGAAATGACAGACTGGCAGCCATTTTTGGTGCTCATTTGTCCAACCCATTTCTCAGATGTACTATCAAGATTTTGTTTAATTTGGTAAATAGGCAAGACATAATGGTTTTGTATTACGCTAA